AATAATGTAAATAGAATAATAAATTACTAAATCATCAACACTACATCAACCGTGTTTATATGCTCTCATTGGTTGATATTCTCTACTTATTTTTGAAATTTGGAGCATCACATACTTTATTCAGATTTATTACTGAAAACCTTACTAGAACTTGTATACCTTTCTTTTTCTTTGCTGATTGTTTTCTTCATGATACATCTTGTTTCTCAAAAATTATTTTTTTTTTTAAACTTTTTTCGCATATATTACATGTGTAGTGAACACAAATTCTACGTTTATCTGCCTTTATTTGTGACTTGAAAAAATTACCTCACACCTTAAAAAGTATAATACATATTATCTTCACTTTAAGAAATCAGTGCAGTATATTTTATTACTACATTCGAAAAACGTACTTGGCACTGATAAGGTTTCTCAGAATCAGAATGGCAAACTATATAATGGTATCTTAGATTTGCCTTAGTTTCAAACCTTGTTTCGCATTTGTCACATTTGTACGGAAGTAACGATAAATGAAGTGCTTCATGGTTATTTAACTTTTGTTTTGAACTCAAATGTTTCCCACAGAACTTAAAAAGAATAATACACATTATTGTCATTTTGAGAAATCAATGCGCAATATATTTGACGAATACAATCGGAAAACGTACTCGGCACTTATAAGGTTTCTCACAATCAGCATGATGAACTTTATAATGGGTTATTAAACTTTGCTTAGTTTTATATGTGTAATCGCATTTGTTGCATTTATGCGGACGCAACGATGAATGAACTGTTTCATGGTTAGTTACTTCTTGTTTTGTGTAAAACCGTTTATCACAGAACTTAAAAAAAATAATACACATTATTGTCACTTTGAAAAATCACTGCGCAATATATTTGACGAATACAATCGGAAAACGCACTCGGCATTGATAAGGTTTCTCAGAATTCGAATGCTGAACTTTATAATGGTATATTAGAGTTGGCTTAGTTTTAAACATTTTTTTGCATTTGTCACATTTGTACGGGAACACCGATGAATGAAGTGCTTCATGGTTATTTAAAATTTGTTTTGTTTTCAAATATTTATCACAGAACTAAAAAAAAATAATACACATTATTGTCACTTTGAGAAATCACTGCGCAATATATTTGACGAATACAATCGGAAAACGTACTCGGCATTGATGAGGTGTCTCAGAATTCGAATGCTGAACTTTATAATGGTATCTTAGATTTGCCTTAGTTTTAAACATTTTTTCGCATTTGTCACATTTGAACGTAAGCAACGATGAATGAATTGCTTCATGCTCAGTTAAGGTTTGTTTTGACTTTAACTGTTTACCACAGAACTTAAAAAGAATAATACACATTATTGTCATTTTGAGAAATCAATGCGCAATATATTTGACGAATACAATCGAAAAACGTACTTGACACCTATAAGGTTTTTCACAAGAAGGATGAATGGTAACTTGTTGCTCCATATTTCACTTACGTTGAAAAGTTGTTTTGCACGTGGCACAATCGTATGAACGCACTGACGAAAATGGACAGTTTTATAAATATTCAAATCGCATTATTATACAATAGGTATGTGATAAATTTAGTGCAAGATAAGCAGACTGAAAGAAAAAAAAAGAAGATTGAGGATAGACAGAAAGAAAGTGAGAACCAGAGCGAGGAAGAGATTACGTGAGAGAGAACATTAAGTATACTTTAGTGTATATACACAGTTTTTGATAATTACCTTAAAGTCTTTCGGAAGCAGGTAGGAGTAAAACTGAGTCGAAAAGTGATGCTGTACCATTTTTTTCTATTACATATATATATATATATACTATATATATATATATAGCCAATCAACGCCGATCTTTAGCCGGACGGATTTCAGTGAGCCGCGCGTCTGGTGTGCGTGATTGCTTCGCGCGTCTCACTGACATGCGCCCAGCGAAAAGTCGGCGTTGATTGGTTTTAGTTATTCAATAATTACTCTTTTAATATTTATATATATATATATATATGTATATATGTAATAGAAAAAAATGGTTCAGCATCACTTTTTGACTCAGTGTTACTCCTTTTACCTGTCTACGAGAGATTGTAAAATAATTGTCGACCACTTTGTATATTATCCTTACTATGCGCACGAAACGTTTTCTGCTAGTTACGGTAATATCATCAATAGACTGTTCTAAATTCTTTTGTTTCTCGTAATCTGAGCAAATCTTTATCACTATGCGTAAACATTTTTAACTGAAAAGTTATATATATACATACGTGTGGCGTTTGCCAAACAGTGAGCAAGTAATTTTTTACGGAGAAGATTTCTACAAAGAACACGATGTGTACACGTAAGAGCACAAGAGAAAACTAAACGTTTAGTTCGTTGATATGTTATCGCAATCGAAAACCTAAGACGTAAACACTATCTTGTCCTATAGATATAAATATAAATAGGTAGAAATGTTATTGTATCGTGACTTGGTATGTGTGTGCGTGTGTGTAGGTGAGACAGACAATATATTACATGTAAGTAACAATATGGTAAAATAACTGTGACGATTATTTGAAAACAACAAAATATAATAACACCTCAACTTGGTTTTTAATTCTACTTTTTCAATGCTCATTCATAAAAATTTACATTCGGTCGGTCGTAAGTCGAATTTCATTTTCAATTATTGAAATCATTGTACTTCGTTACACATCTATTCTGAATGCAATGCTACTGAAAAAGCAAATGGTTTCTCTGCAAATAGATCTCGATGGTCTAGTAACGAATACGATCAGACACTTAAAGAAGAATCGAAAGAAACTGAAACCTAACAGGTTTATCGGTTTACGATAGGAAAGTCGAGAGACTCGCGTTAAACAATTCTGAGGTGCAATTAAAACAAATTACATAAAAAAAAGATGCGTACTTGAAATCGAAAGTGATCTTGATAATCACGCGGTTACTGTTACGCACTCCTTACTTAAGTTGCGAGCGCTGCCATTTCGCACACCACATCTCGATACATCAGATCGTAGAGGGTTGAAACGAACCTACGCGACCTTTACAACGGGAATTTATACTTGGATTAATGGTCGCTTTTTTGTTTCGTACTGGGCTCTATCAGAGCTCTTGATTGCTACTTTATGAAATTAACTCGCGGCAGTAATCATAATAACGATATCAAGTTTTACTTCGGTTGTTGAAATAGATATGTTTGCGATTAACGCGTGCAGATGTCTTTTTGCGTGATTCCCCCTTTTAGGTGGTTATGAAAAAGAATGTGGCGTGCACAGAAATTATTTATATTAGCGCAATAATTATATATATTTCGCAATTTTTTTCTTGTAATTGTTAGATTTGCACGTTGTATTTGAAATACGAAATTTTCGGTAAAATTTTATTATTTAACGTGGAATTTTGCATGACATACACACACTTTACACACAAGTATTTTTATAAAAATTGTCGCACAGATAATTGTTTGATAATATTTACTTTATTTTAAGATTTAAATTTTTGCAAAAGAACAATATTTTTATGTTGCGTCATACAATGTTATTCCGTAAAGGATTGGCTGTTGTTGTCTTCGTCTGTATTGGTACATAAAAGTTTCTATTCGTCTTTTTTGTTACATAAACTTTTTTGATATTAAAAGATTTCGTATTTACGTGTATATTCTTGCATGCATTTTTGGATGTCGTTGAAATCAGCAAAGCTTCGTCTACAGAGTGTTTCGTATTGAGTAGTACACTTTGCAGAGAGTGAATTTTAACCTTTTAAAAGGAAGTTAAAAGTTTCTTTTTCACTTTTGGATTAGATCATTATTTACCGATTTTTTACCTATTAAAGTTCTTCATTGAGACGGCGCGTATACAAAGTATGCAGGAGCGTCGCGCGCTTTGTTACGCCTTACACTTGTTCCGATTACATTGCTTCTGTTAAAACTTCAGTTTACTATGTCACACTTGATAATACATTAATAAATAAATAAAGGCACGTAGAAATTACTCCATTAAGTGATTTATTTGAAAAACGTAGTGATACATTGTCCGAAATTAATGAATACATAAATAATTACTGTTGATCGTGTCTTTTTACGTTTTTATTATTTAAAGAAATAACTCATATACATAAATAGGTGAGTAATTTTTATTTAAATTAATTTACTTTTTTTATAAATAAATAAGTAATTCTTATTTAAATTACTTTCTTTTTTAAAATAATATAAACGTAAAAAGACACGATTAACATTACGTAGTTCTGTATTCATTAATTTTGTTCGATGTATCACTACTTTTTTGAAATAACTTAATTAGGTGATTAATTTCTACCTGGATTTATTTATTTTTATGTAGTATCTAGTGTGACATAGTAGAATGAAGGGTTAACAGAAGTAATCGAATCGGGGGTGACAAGTGCAAAGAGTAGCTCAATGAGCGAGGCTCTTGCATACTTCGTATACGCGCCGTCTCATTGAAGAACTTTAATATTTAAAACTCGGTACATAAATAATGGTCTAAGCCAAGAATGAAAAATGAACTGTTTGTTTATAATTTTACCTTCTTTCACTCCTTGCACAGTGTACTCATCATTACGGGACATTGTATGTTTAGTACATAAATTCTGATTCACTACTGCGAACTGAGTCAAATAGACATATATATTTATTTCGATATACTTATCATAGAGAAACAGTTAATACTACATCCTGCAACAAAAAATAAACTTTACTATATATGTGCGATATAAAAGTGTATGTATTAGAAACCTAATATATAGTATAAACATATAATCTAAAAGTATTATATGTGTATATATATATGTATGTATGTATGTGTATGTATATGTATGTATATATATATATATATATATATATATATATATAATACCATACATAATGTGAAAACAAAACACTGGTATTATAATATTAGTACATAGATTACATGTATATACATACTTTACATATATACATCTATTACGAATCTTATTGAAAACTAATTAGAGGATCTAGGCCAATGAGAACATATAAACACAGTTGATGTGTAATGTTGATTATTTAGTAATTTATTATTCTATTACCATTATTCTTGATTGACGTTTGTCTTTTTTAAAATTCTTATATAATAACAAATCGCTGGGATCAATTATGGTCAGTTCTGGTTTTTAAAGGCAAGATCATGGTCATGAGGTGTTAATTTCAGGCACCGCAACGACGATCCTGTCTTTTTAAAGTGATAACAGCAACTTAATGTGATAAGAGCGAGTGATTCAAGTTGCTGGTATCACTTGGTAAAGTCAGGATCGCGTCGTTGCGTTGACTGAAATTTACACCTGACCATAATTAAAATCAGCAATTTGTTATTATATAAGGATTTTGAAAAAGACCGAATACGACGGTCGAAACGTCACTCAAGAATAATGTTAATAGAATAATAAATTACTAAATAATCAACACTACATCAACCGTGTTTATATGCTTTTATTGGTTGATATTCTCGAAGTAGTTTTGAAATTCGGAGCATCACATACTTTATTCAGATTTATTACTGAAAACCTTACTGGAACTTTTATACCTTTCTTTCCGTTTGCTTATTGTTCTTTTCATGATACATCTTGTTCCTCAAACAGTACTCTTTTTTTATAACTCTCTTCGCATATATTACATGTATAGTGAACACAAATTCCATATTTATCTTCCAGTATTTGTGACTCGAAAACATTACCACACATCTTAAAAAGAATAATACATATTATATTCATTGTAAGAAATCAGTGCAGTATATTTTATTAATACATTCGGAAAACGTACTTGGCACTTAAAAGGGTACTTAAAATGACGTTTGATATGCATTTGTAGATTTGTCTTGGTTTTAAAAGGTTGATCGCATATGGCACATTTGAACGGACGCAACGATGAATGAACTGCTTCATGTTCAGTTGAACTGTGTTTTGTACACAAACGTTTATCACATACCTTAAAAAGAATTATACACATTGTCATTTTGAGAAATTAATGCGCAATATATTTGATGAATACAATCGAAAAACATACATGAATCTCATCAGGTTTCTCACACACAAGAGCAAAATGAAGTTTTCTATGGAAAATTAAATGCTCCTTAGAGTTAAAAATTTCATCGCATATGTCACATTTATACAGACTCAACGATGAATGAACTGCTTCATGTTTAGTTGAACTCTGTTTTGTACTTAAACGTTTACCACATACCTTAAAAAGAATAATACACATTGTCATTTTGAGAACTCAATACGGAAAATATTTGATGAATACAATCGAAAAACATACTTGGTTTTTAGAAGGTTTCTCAGAATGAGAATGATGACATTTAGAATGGTATAGTAGATTTGCTTTAGTTTTAAACGTTTTATCGCATATATCACATTTATACGGGCGCAACGATGAATGAACTTTTTTATGAGCAGTTAATTTTTTTTTTGTCGAAAAACGGTTACCACATTTCTAAAAAAGTATAGTATACATTATTGTCACTGTGATAAATTAATACGCAATATATTTGAAGAATGCAATTGCACAACGTACCTGACACCTATAAGGTTTTTTACCAGAAGAATGATTGTTACCTTGTTGCTCCATATTTCACTTACGTTGAAAAGTTGTTTTGCACGTGTCACAATCGTATGAACGCAATGATGAAAATGGACAGTTTTATAATTATTCAAATCACATTTGTATACAATAGGTACATGATAAATTTAGTGAAACTTAAACAGACTGAAAGAAAAAAAAAGAAGATTGAGGATAGACAAAAAGAAAGTGAGAAACAGAGTAAGAAAGAGATTACGTGAGAGAGAACATTAAGTATACTTTAGTGTATATAGAGAGTATCCGACAATTACATTAAAGTCTGTCGGAGGCAGGTAGGAAAAAAACTGAGTCAAAAAGTCTTGACACAATTTTTTCTATTTCATATTATAAAGGAATAATTATTGAATTTATCAAGCCAATCAACGCCGACTTTTAGCCTGGCGCATGTCAGTGAGCCGCGCACCTGGTGTGCGTGCGTGCTCTGCACGGCTCACTGACATGCGTCGGGCTAAAAGTCGGCGTTGATTGGCTTGATTTATTCAATAATTACTCTGTTAATATATATATATATATATAT